TAAGCAATTTTACAGAATGTGGTAAGAATTGAACTATTAGGTTGGTGTAAAAGTAATTGTGGTTTTTTGCCATAATACATTCTTGCATGTAGTGTAAAACTTTGTCAAATCAGCATTAAATGAACTATACTAGTTATTGGAATTATCCTTAAAATTACCTTACATGTAATGAATTTCTAAATTATTAACTTGTTTTGCCAACCTTCACCACATAGTTTATTACCCGTGTTGCTGGACTGTCTCCATAGCTGTTTATCGGTTCAACTGTAATAGTCTTTATTTTAACATGGATTTTGACAGTTCTCTATAGTGTACAAAATATTATATTTTTACTAAAACTGGATCTGGTTTGAATAAAAGAAAGTTAGCTTAGTTGGATTGCTTCCATAAGTGTAGGGGAGCCAAGAATTATGGGAAAAGTTCTTTTGGCTTTTAAAGAGGTCTTAGGGCTTTATTTCAATGTGATTATTTCATATTCTGAGAAATCTTTTTTAAAACAATGAATTGTTTGGTAAGACATACGGAGAAAAAAATCTGAGACTCTATATCTTATTTTACCTGAGACTCTACTTACCTTGTCTACTATTCAATTATTTCATTTAAAGCTGAGATTAGATGATTGATCACTGTATTTTTGCCAGGCTGTTCACTGTTAAACCTTCTTTTGGCAGTGGTTCTTAAGGGGAGGGGAGGCAGGAGATGTCAGGGGGAGCTAGTTTCTAGAATCCTGTCTTCAGTATTTTGAAAATAAGCCTGGTGGATGGCAGGTGGCTCACACTTGTAATCCCAGCACTGTGGGAGACTGAGGCGGGCAGACTACCTGAGATAAGGAGTTCCAGACCAGCCTAGGCTGGTGAAACCCCATCTCTACTAAAAAGATAAAAATTAGCTGAGGGTGGTGGCAGACACCTGTAATTCCAGCTACTTGGGAGACTGCGTCAGGAGAATCCTTGAACCTGGGAGTTGAAGGTTGCAGTGAGCCAACACCCCACCACTGCACTGTAGCCTGGGTGACAGAGTTAAGACTTCCTTTAAAAAAAAAAAAAAAGAAGAAGAAGAAAAGAAATCTGATACTGGGTATGGGTATTGTGGAAAATTTCCAGTAATATGTAACTCACCCACCACCCCACCCCCATTGCAACATACTTGTTTTGGATGTCTTCTTAATGTTTGGAAGATGCTCTTAGTGATATTAATGTTTATGGTTAAGGGCTTCCTAGATAGAATTCAAATCTTATATAAAGAAAAAGTAAAGAGGAGGTTTTCTCACCAAAAAGCAGTGATGCAATTAATAAGAATGAAAGAGTACTCACTGTAGGTCCTGTTAGTCAGTTTGAAATCAAGACCAACCTGGGGAAAATAATTTTGGATAATGATGCCTCATATAGCATATCAGTACTTTAAAAATCTCTCACCTTCTCTCTCTCTGGATACAATGAATTTTAATTACATTATTGCTCTTTTCCTTGGTAGCTTTTAGATCACTTTTTTAAAAAGTGGATGAGTTTTGTAATAAAGGATGTTCCTGTTGAGTGATATAGCACCGAATTTGAAAAATCATTCTTTTAAAATTAATGCTTATAAAAATTTACAATTAACACATTTCTTTTGATAGGTTTATGGCTACAAATGATTTGATGACGGAACTGCAGAAAGATTCTATCAAGTTGGATGATGATAGTGAAAGGAAAGTAGTGAAAATGATTTTAAAGTTACTGGAAGATAAAAATGGAGAGGTACAGAATTTAGCTGTCAAATGGTAAGTTGTTTTTTATTGGTTGAGTCTTTCTCACTGCTCCCCCAACCCTGATTTAAAAATCTCTGTGATAAGTAGTAAATTATCTTAGTCTTCAACTATGTCTGTCTCGTGTTTATATTTAGAATTTTTAGGTGACTAATGTTTAGTGTTTGTATATGGTACATATAATATATTTTCTTACAGCATATAAGTTACTAAATGTGGCCTTTCATGGTATTTTTTTTTTTTTTAATTCTTAGAAAGTACATGTAGGGAACTCCAAAAACAATGATTCTCATTTGACCATAGCGTACATTTTTAGCTGGATTAAAGGCCTACTTGTCTCAGTCTATCTCGGTATTCCAGTGGGGATGAAATTTTAAAACCAAATGATTAAGGAAAATTAAAAACTAATAATAAAATTCCTTTTTTATTTTTAAATGCAGGATCTCACCCTGTCACCTAGGTAGGAGTGCAGTGGTATGATCACAGCTCACTGCAGCCTTGACCTCCTGGGCTCAAGCAATCCTCCTGCTTCATTTTTCAAAATTTTTTTGTAGAAACAAGGTCTTACTGTGTGGCCCAGGCTGGTCTTGAACTCCTGGGCTCAAGCAGTCATTCTGCCGTGGCCTCCCAAAGTACTGGGATTATAGGCATGAGCCACTGTGCCTGGCCAAAAAACTACTACTAATAAAATTCGTAATAAAGAATAGCAGCACTTAAACCATAGTTAACTCAAAACAACACTGATGATACAATAGTTACAGAGAGTCTTTTCTAAGAGTCATAGAGATTCCGATTGCCTTTTTGTATACTATGCAGTGGGACAGGCGTCCCCAAACTTTTTACACAGGGGGCCAGTTCACTGTCCCTCAGACCATTGGAGGGCCGCCACATGCTGTGCTCCTCTCAATGACCACCAATGAAAGAGGTGCCCCTTCCTGAAGTGCGGTGGGGGGCCGGATAAATGGCCTCAGGGGGCTGCATGCAGCCTGCACGCGCAGGCCGTAGTCCCACCGTAGTTTGTGGACGCCTGCAGTGGGAGCTTCCTGCTATGCACGATGTTGGCAATTTGGTTTCTAATTTTTAGTAGGGTAAAGAATTTGAGTTCTCAATAAATTTCATTAACATTAATTTAGTTTATGAATGTCAACCTTTTTGCTTATACCTGTAATCCCAGCACTTTTGGAGGCCAAGGCAGGCAGATCATGAGATCAGGAGATCAAGACCATCCTGGCTAACACAGTGAAACCCCATTACTGCTAAAAATATAAAAAAATTAGCTGGGCATGGTGGCATGAACCTGTAGTCCAGCTACTCAGGAGGCTGAGGTAGGAGAATCGCTTGAACCCGGGAGGTGGAGGTTGCAGTGAGCCGAGATCGAGCCACTGCACTCCATCCTGGGCAACAGAGCAAGATTCCATCTCCAAAAAAAAAAAAAGAAACCCTTAATTTACATAGTTATTTATATAACCTTCAGCCTTGTAAAAGTTACGGAATTATGTCTTTTTGTACATCGTTATATTTGGTTATAGTTTAAATAAAACATCCCATTGTTACTGCTTTTCAAAGGATTTTAAATTTGTTTTAGCCTAACCTTTTGCCTGTCTCTTGTAAGAGTAAATAAAAATATGAGAAATAATTGGTCAGCATAGAATTTCTAGACATGCAATACAGATATTTTTAACTTGGAACATTTGCAAGTTTAAAATAAAATGGGTCTTTCAAAAAATGCTGTTGTAGGCCGGGAGTGGTGGCTCATACCTGTAATCCCAGCACTTTGGGAGGCCAAGGCAGGCAGATCACTTGATGTCAGGAGTTTAAGTCCAGCCTGACCAACATGGTGAAACCCTGTCTTTACTAAAATACAAAAATTAGCTGGGCGTAGTGGTGCATGCCTGTAATCCCAGCTATTCGGGAGGCTGAGGCAGCAGAATCTCTTGTTCCCAGAAGGCAGAGGTTGCAGGGAGCGGAGATCGCAGTACTGCGCAACAGCCTGGGCAACAGAGCGAGATTCTGTCTCAAAAAAGAAAAAAAAAAAACAGTGGTGGTGTAGAATAATACAGTTGATTCAGTAATTTTAGTTTAATTTTCTTATCTTTTAATGTTTTTTTTTTTTTTTTTTTTTTTGCCATGTGCCTAATAAGCAAAATTAAGCTTTGTTAAGAATATGTCCTGTATATTTCTCAAGCTTTTAAAAAAATAAATCTTTAAAAAAGTACTTTGTTCCAAATTGAGAGGTGGGAGGTACGTAATTCTTAGTCACTTTAGTATGTATCTTTACTCATTAGGAACCTGAGTTTCTTGACCTTTTGTTGATCTTTTATATTTATAATGAGAGGAGTTGGGAAGAAATAACATATATTCAAGAAAATAAAGGAAGTAGGATATAAATAAATAGATTAGGAGATAAGATGGTAATGAGTAAACAATCTAAGAGCTGGGTCTTGGAGGAGGGAAAATCCCAATAAATAATAAAACAGCCATATTAAAAAAAAATTGGAAAAATTGAACAAAAATTTTCAATTTTTGGAAAAATTCAACAAAAGAATTCATCACTCAAAAGAAAGGTCCAGAAATATTTCACAGATGTCTATAAAACCTCAAAGAACAGATAATTCCAGTATAGAGAGTTGTAGTACTGTTCCAGAACGTAAAGTATGAAAACCTTCCACACTTTAAATACTGGTGACAGATCCTAATGATAACACTTAAAAGAAAATTATAGACTAGCTTCATTTAAATGTTCAAACTAAAATATAGCAGTGTATTATGAATAACATACTGTGACCAAGTAGAGTTTACCCCAAGATTATAAGGGGGGGGGGGTAGTTCAGTATTATTTGCTTTATTAATCAAGTCATTTTATTATGTTAATAGGTCAAAGAGAAAAAAACTATCTGGTTAGTTGTCAAGACACTGGTAAGAGTCAGCATTGACTCTTTATTAAAACAAAACTAAAAGCACTTAGTTTACTTACTATAATTAGAGAGGTGAAGAACTTCCAAAAACCAGCATACTTGAAATGTCATTAAGTTAAAAACAAGTTGAAGATACATTATCCCACTTGACAGAATTCATGTGTTCCAGGTAAAACATGTAACAACATAGGAATTGATAGGTCCCTTCTTTAACATTAAAGGAGACACACAGACACACACACACACACACACACACACACACACACACACACACACTTCAGCCCAAAGGTTATAAAATACCAAATACGGTGAGCGGCGGTGTCGACTGATGGTAATGGGGCACAGAGGCTTTTAGCAGAGCTGCTGAAGATGAATGCCAGAGGACTTGGATCTGAGCTAAAGGACAGTATTCCAGTTACAGAACTTTCAGCAAGTGGACCTTTTGAAAGCCATGATCTTCTTCGGAAGGGTTTTTCTTGTGTGAAAAATGAACTTTTGCCTAGTCATCCTCTCGAATTACCAGAAAAAAATTTCCAGCTCAACCAAGATAAAATGAATTTTTCCACTCTGAGAAACATTCAGGGTCTGCTTGCTCCACTAAAATTACAGATGGAATTCAAGGCAGTGCAGCAGGTTCAGCGTCTTCCATTTCTTCCAAGCTCAAATCTTTCACTGAATATTTTGAGGGATAATGATGAGACTATTGGATTTGAGGATATTCTCAATGATCCATCACAAAGTGAAGTCATGGGAGAGCCACACTTGATGGTGGAATATAAACTCAGTTTACTGTAATAGTGTGCTGTTCATGGAAGCTGATGGCTGCATCTTGTTTAGAGTCATCTTTTTATTGTAATTTGATCTACACAACATTAAAAGTACTGACGTCTGTGAAGTTCTGCTCAAGTAGTATCAGGATTATTTAAAATTTTGGGAGTCTTTGGTTTACAACCATGTGACAATTAAAAGCACTAAAGGGAGAGAGATCATGTTAAAGGTCTTAATTTGTGTTAAAGCAATACTCTGTGTCTTCAAAAGAAATTGTTGCTTATGAAAATAATAAAATGATCTGCAGGTTTCAATTCAAACTTTTCTGTAAACTTAACTTTTGAATAAGCGTTATAAACATTTGAGTCTGTAAACTTTATAGTAGCAGCTTTCAGAATAAACATTTTTTTGTTTGTTTGTTTGTTTTTTTGAGACGGAGTTTCACTCTTGTTACCCAGGCTGGAGTGCAATGGCGAGATCTCGGCTCACCGCAACCTCCGCCTCCTGGGTTCAGGCAATTCTCCTGCCTCAGCCTCCTGAGTAGCTGGGATTACAGGCACATGCCACCATGCCCAGCTAATTTTTTGTATTTTTAGTATAGACGGGGTTTCACCATGTTGACCAGGATGGTCTTGATCTCATGACCTCGTGATCCACCCGCCTCGGCCTCCCAAAGTGCTAGGATTACAGGCTTGAGCCACCGCGCCCGGCCCAGAATAAACATTTTTAATTGGAAAAAAAAAAAAAAATACCAGATACATTCACCCTAAAGTCAGGGACAAGGCAAATATGTGCATCTCTCTGCTGTTTCTTTTGAGAATATTAACCACTATAAGTCAGGGGTGGGAGGAAAATTAGAGGCATAAGAATTGAAAAGCTTAAGTGAGAAAAACAAGTCAATTAAGAAAAATTGAATTTACAATAAGAATTTGGGGAGGTAGGATGTAAAATTTACAAAATTAATAGCTTTTCATATAAGCCTTTGATACACTAGCTTTTCATTTGCTGATATGAAAATCATTAGCTTTTTATATGGCCAATTAGAAGACATAATGGAAATGAACACCCATTTGTTATAGCAATAGAAAGACAAAATACATAGGAATAAATGTAACAAGAAATGATATAATGGTGACCATGGATTGCAGTGTTGTGTGGTATAAGGTAAGGTTACAGTTTTCTGTTCCAAATTTATGGGGAAAATTTTTTAAAATACTTTAAGATACAAAAATGTACTTGAACAAACAGAAAGACATCTCATGTCCTTGAATGGGACAACTCTGTACCATAATGTTTTTGGTTCTCTTCAGGTTACTTTTACGCTAACCTAACTTGAAAAATCAAGTTTTTTTTAGAAGCTAGACAAATTGACTATAAAGTATGTTAGGGTTGAGAGTGAGCATGTGCTGAAGATAGTCAAGAAAACGCTGAAAAGGTAGAAAACTGCTGCAGGTAGAAAGGTGTTGGTTAGCCCTATAAATATTATGTCTCTGTAATCAAAGCAGTGAGGCAGTGGGGCATTAATAGACCAGTGAAGCCGGGCGCGGTGGCTCAAGCCTGTAATCCCAGCACTTTGGGAGGCTGAGGCGGGTGGATCACAAGGTCAAGAGATCGAGACCATCCTGGTCAACATGGTGAAACCCCGTCTCTACTAAAAATACAAAAAATCAGCTGGGCATAGTGGCGCGTGCCTGTAATCCCAGCTACTCAGGAGGCTGAGGCAGGAGAATTGCCTGAACCCAGGAGGCGGAGGTTGCGGTGAGCCGAGATCGTGCCATTGCACTCCAGCCTGGGTAACAAGAGCGAAACTCCATCTCAAAAAAAAAAAAAAAAAAAAATAGACCAGTGAAGTAAAATCAAATGTAAAATATGTTATGAAGGTAGCATCACTGGGAAAAAGATGGACTTTTTTCAAAATTGTATAATTTTATCGTACAACATCTCCAATCAAGGTCACTATTATTCAGGTTTTATTTACCTTAAATTAGTTTTGCCTGTTAAAAAACTTTATATAAATGGAATTACACAGTATGTGTTCTTGTTTTTGGCTGTTTTTGCTCTCATAATACCAGAAATTAATCCATCTTGTTTATATTAGTAGTTCATGCCTTTTTATTAATTAGTACATTGATTGTTTATTCATTTGGTTTCTTTCATGGATTTGACTACTGTGAATAAATATACAGTGAACATTCCTGTACAAGTCCCTTTTAGGACATGTTTTTTTTTTTTTGAGACGGAGTTTCACCCTTGTTACCCAGGCTGGAGTGCAATGGCGCGATCTCGGCTCACCGCAACCTCTGCCTCCTGGGCTCAGGCAATTCTCCTGCCTCAGCCTCCTGAGTAGCTGGGATTACAGGCACGTGCCACCATGCCCAGCTAATTTTTTGCACTTTTAGTAGAGACGGGGTTTCACCATGTTGACCAGGATGGTCTCGATCTCTCGACCTCGTGATCCACCCGCCTCGGCCTCCCAAAGTGCTGGGATTACAGGCTTGAGCCACCGCGCCCGGCGCAGGACATGTTTTTATTTCTTATTGATACCCAAGAGTGAAACTGCTCTTGTTCACTTCGCTTTTTGTGAAAACACCAAATTGTTTCCCAAAGTCTATCTACCATTTTATGTCAAAGTACTGGTTGCTCCACATTCTCACTAGCCATTTGGTTGTGTCAGTTTTTAATTTTAGCCACTTCAGTAAGTGTATAAGTGTGGTTTTAATTTATATTTCCCTGATAATTAATGATGTCAAGCACTGTTTCATGTGTTGTTTGGCTATTTTTTTGTGTGTATGTGGACTTTTTATTATCAAGTTGTAGTTCTTTTCTAAATTTGATGAGTTTAAGTTTAATTTTGGTTTCAAATTTAGTTTAGTTTGATTTAATTTATAAGTTAATTTAAATTTTTGTTTATGGCTGTTGTTTTCTGTGTTCTAAGAAATCTTCGTTTACCTTAAGTTGTAAGGATTTTCTCCAAATGAGATTTCTAATTTTAGTTTTACTTTTAGTTCTATGATGGATCTTGTATTTATTTTTGCAAAGGATATGAGGCAGAAATTAACTTTTTCTTTTTTTCCCCAATTTGGATATTTAGTTGATGCAGCACCATTTATTGAAAAGATCTTCCTTCTGATTTACTTTGGCATCCTTGTCAAAAAAGTAATTGACTATAAAAGTGTGGGTCTACTTCTAGATGTTATTTTGTTCCATTGCTTTGTCTGTATTTATACCGATACAACACTTGCATTCATTGTAGCTCAGGAGTTTAACATCTTTGGCATTACTGACTCTTTGGGCCAGATAATTCTTTGTTGTTGAGCTGTGTATTCTGTATATTGTATGTTTAGCAGCATTCCTGGCCTTTACTCAGTATTTTCCCATAGTATTCCCTCCCAGTTGTGACAATCAAAATGTCTGTAGGCATTGCCAGATGTCTCTTGGAGAGCAAAAATTGCCCTGTTGAGAAACACGAGTCTAGATCTTAAATGTAAAGTAAAAGATAGTTTAAGTTCTCTAGCTTTTGTCTTCCTTTCTCAAGAGTAGTTAAGCTGGGTGCTATGGCTCACACCTGTAATCCCAGCACTTTTGGAGGCCAACGTGTGTAGATCATGAGGTCAGGAGTTTGAGACCAGTCTGACCAACATGTGAAACCCCATCTCTACTAAAAAAAAAAAAAAAAAAAAAAAAGCCGGGTGTATTGGTGCGCACCTGTAATCCTGGCTACTCAGGAAGCTGAGGCAGGAGAATTGCTTGAACCCGGGAGGCGGAGGTTGCGGTAAGCAGAGATTGTGTCACTGCATTCCAGCCTGGGCCATAGAGTGAGACTCACTCTTAAAAAAAAGTAGTTTAGTTTTTTAAGTTCTTTATATTTCTATGTAAATTTTAGAATTGTCAACTTTTATTCTTAAAAAGAAGCTTGCTTGAATTTTGATTGGAATTCTGTTGAAACTTTAGAAATATTTGAGAAAAATTCACATTATATTAACAATACTTAGTCTTTCAACCATGAATCATAGTATCTCATCCTTGTCAAAGTCGTTTTTGCTGAGTCCTCAGGATTTTCTACCTAAACAACATGTCATCAGTGAATATCTTTCTCTTTTCAATCCTGATTTTGATAATTTGTGTTCCTTTTTAAAAAATCACCAGTTAATTGAATCAGGAACTTACCAACTTTACGAATCTTATCAAAAACCTGACATAAAGCGTTATTAATTTTGTCTGTCTGTTGTCTCTTTCATTGATTTCTTCTGTGATTATTGCATTCCTAATTGCTTTCTTTCTAATTTAAGCATATAAAGGTGTATATTTTCCTCTAAGTATGTCTTCAGCTACATCACACAAATTATGATATTTTCATTCAGTTTGAAATATTTTTGATTTTTGATGTGATTTTTAAAAATCCATTTGTTACTTAGAAGCAATTTCCAAATATTTGGAAGTTATCTACTTATTTTTTTTTTACTGGTTTCCAATTTAATTCTACTGTGGTTAGGGTACTTTCTTTTAACATTTATTGAGATTTGTTTTGTGGTGAGCTTGGCAAATGTTTTATATATACTTGAAAAGAAAGTATATTCTGCAGTTGTTGAGTAAAATGTTTTATAAATATGAGGTCAAGGTAGTTGACAGTGTTCAGTTTTATATCTTTTCTGCTTTTTTTTTTTGAGATGGAGTCTCACTCTGTCGCCCAGTCTGGAATTTGCTCACTGCAACCTCTGCCTCCTAGGTTCAAGCGATTCTCAGACTGCCTCAGCCTCCCAGGCAACTGGGGTTATAGGCACACACCATCATGCTCGGCTAATTTTTGCATTTTTAATAGAGACAGGGTTTCACCATGTTGGCCAGGCTGGTCTCAAACTCCTGACCTCAAGTGATCCACCTACCTTGGCCTTCCAAAGGGCTGGAATTACAGATGTGAGCCACCATGCCTGGCCGTCCTTTCTGAATTTTTGTTTAGTTGATCTGGTGAGAAGTATGGTAAAACTTTCAAGTATGACTTTTTCCTATCAGTCTCTTTTTCTTGCATT